GCCTGAACAATGCAATCCTTTTACAGATGAGCAGCTGAACTTGACAGCTTAGTGAGCTGGCCAAGATTGTACCTCTGATTCACGCAGAGCTAGAAGAGAAACCAAATTTTCTACCTTATATCGCAAGCTCCCCAGGTTATTTTAAAATCTAGTTACTATTACAAAGACTTATTTCTAGATAATTATTTTACATTTGCAACTCTATGTTAGAGCAGAGTCTGCTGTAATATATTCTAGGGTGTAATATGTGGAAACATGAAAATATTCATCTGATTCTAGACCCTTTGCCTCCTGTTACCAAAAACCCAATGCTACAGGCTCCTTTGGGAGGATTTTGTGGTCCACCTTCTACCCTTTTGAGCGTCTGCCCGGAACCACAGGTGAGATACTGTACTCGCTTGATGACAGGGCCCAAAGCTATTCTTTCTTTCTTGGAGATCTGGCCCATTCCACAGAAAAGAACGGGACAGTAAGTCTCCTACCCGCTCACTTCAATAATAAGCTTTTAATCTTGCCTGAATGTGCTCATAAATGTTGGTAAAAGGAGAAAGTCAAGAATGAGGAAGATCAGGCACTTTCTAGGACTTTCCCTGGGTAGAGACCTGAATCAGGTGATGTAGTAAGTGATTTTGTTAAAGGTAACTCAGTATAAGATGCTCAGACATCTGTATAACAGCAATGTAATGGTATTTCTCCATAGACATGCTTATAAATGATGTTTTTCATGAAAAGAAATAAGAGAATATTTTTTTACAAAGTTTTCCATTGCAGTGCTATGGCCACAAGAAGAACCCCTTATCGTAGTGTGCTAACAGTCTCCAATTAGATGGTCATAAATTCAGAAGGAAAAATCTACTCACTGTGAGCTTCATCTTGTCTTCACAAAAGCAACAGAGCACAGGAGAAGGGAGGCCTGGACTGGGGGAGAAGCCTTCTCCCATTTGTACTTAACTGGCTTTACTCAAACTAGGTGTGGTCAGGTGAATGGAGACTTATCTCCGTCCATTCCCTATATCTGTGCCATGACCCCGGTGTGCCAGGAAGCCCTTCAGAGTATCTACCTCGTTTTGCAATGCGCTTTGACATGGAGTTGGTCTGACTCATCACCTGTTGAAGTTAAAGTACCACAACAAACTCAACATGATTTATGATAACTTCTTGTCTAATGAAAGCTATGGGTGTGGGTATTTTGTACATTGACATTACTCAGATTCAGAAAAATATAATCCCCAAAACCAAACAAAACCCTAGACGAGAAACCGTGTGTACACCAGGCCTTCCAGATAGCAGGTCCTGGACAAATGTGGACTTGGTTTCCTCTTCTTACCTTTACTGAGCCCATTGTCATGGTTTTGCCCAGAATGAACATGTGCTAAAAATAACTCCCACCAAACCTACCCCCTTTTCTGCAATCCTGAACACTCTTGATGACTACACTGATGCTGTCCTTCCTTCGGCCCTACATCCAGTTAGTTACTAAACTGTGTCATTTTATCTCAGAAATGCCCCTCAACTCTGACCTTGCCCACAGCTCCTCTCAACAGCACTTCTGCAACAGTAGAGTAATGGATCATTCTGGTCACCGGTTTCTTATATTCCAGTCCATTCTGTCCAGTTTCCCTAAGGTTGCCTTTCTAAAGTACATACGTAGACTTGACTCTAGTGTGCTTACAAACTCTCACCGTCAGCCCACAAGGTAAAGTTCACACTCACTGGAACGGCGTCCAGAGTCCTTTATAATAAAGTTTCCAAAGGCTTCTCAGCTGGGTCTGTCGTGGAACTCTATTCATGCTGCGCCAGAGTTCTCACTATTCCTGGGACGCTCACGTTGCTCATGGCTTTACGCCTTTGTACAAGTCCACTCTTTCAGCCTGTCCTCCCCCACCCTCTTCTTGGTAAACTGCTGTTCATTTTTTAAGCTCAAGTATTGTTTCCTTCACCATCTCTCCCCCATTTGCCTGATGCCTTGTTTTATTCCTGGAGCTAGAAAAGAAATATCCATCCTTTTGTTTGCGTCTAATAATTTAATATTCAGAAATTATGTTAAAACAATAAAAGAGTTTTAACCAAAAGCAGAGTAAGAACTGTCACTTGGGCAAAAAAGTAGATGGTCAAAACAGTCTTGGAGGTGAATTAAGTTTTATTTTTTTTTCTCTTGCTCACCAAGCTAGTAAATCTAATTTGCTGAAGAGGAAAACTGTATCTCACTGACTGTTGAGCTACAGAATTTCCCTTTGGAGACTTTATGTCCACAGCTGTCTTTCTGTGTATGGACTGCAACTGTAACATGGGGTTACATGGTTACAGAGCTTGAGTTTCTATCAATATCTCTTCCAAAATGTTGGTGGGAGAGGGTTAGACCCACTGGAGTAGGATGTTGCTTATTATTGTTAAAGTATCTACTAGTTCCTTTCAAACTCACTCTGTACTTAGAGAAGGTGAATAAGCCTGGGGTAAGGGGCAGACAAGTGTGAAGAAGTCCTCATCTGCTTTAGGAACGTCATATCACTGAGGGGTGAAAGGATGGACCGTGTGGTCTCTACCTTTAGACTCATCCTTGGGTAGACATCTAGGTGCACCCATGCACTTCCTGTACAACTTTTGTGTGTCATACCAAGGACTTGAGGTTCTACAGTGGACCTGTGAAATGCTGGTCTGGAAGATGTTCCATGATAGATAGATAGATAGAGTTCAGGATACAATAATCCCACTCTTAGAGACTGACAATTCACATTCACTTATCAAACAGGCTAAGAAATCTATAAAGAAGAAATGAATGCAGGACTTTTGGCTTTGCACGAGACCTGGATTGAGGTGAGGGTTCACTGCCCCTTCAACACACACACACTGGGACCACAAAGCACAGAGGAAGAGGTTCTTCTGGTTTTGGAGTCATTAAAATAACAATATTGTACAAAGGAGAAAGGGGGTAAATGACTCATTTCAAGAAGAAAGAATAGAATCTAGATTTCCTGGTTCCCTGTTATAACCAGTAGCTCCCCAAATGGATTTTCAAGTCCAGGGTACATCATCAGAGGCAGCGTGGTTGTGATTTCCTTAAGGAAGGTGCTGCCTAGGGATGTTAGTAGGGTTAGGAAAAATATATAAAAGATAAAGGGGACACAATCAGGTTCTGTAGTCAATTAAGTTTAGAAAAATCAGAATGAAGCAACGGGGCATCCGTTTCTCTCCATGGATTTCTTAGCAAGTCTCTTGTTCCCTCTTGCCCTGAGAGCTTTGGTTTAGATTTCATTCTTCCCAAGCAAGGAAGACAGAGTGTGTTAGAGATTTTTGTTATCTCCATGGAACCTAATAATGTGCGGACACATTATCACACTCAGTAGGCCCCTTTAAAAAATCTGAGTTTCATAAACCACAAGCCAGAGGATACGAAGCGCATGTATTTACTCATGTATGCCTTTTGGTGCCAGCTGGGGAGGTGCTTCCCTACACTGGCTGTCATGACATATCCAGGGAGTCCCAGGTGATGGTGTGACCTCAGTGCCTCGGGGTTAGTGTGGGGCCAGCCAGCCCATGGGTAAATAGGGCCTGCCCTGACACAGAGGTAGATGCTGGGTCGAACCAAGAACCATGCCCCTATCGCCATTTTATCTCCCAGTGCACACGCCCAAGCTTCCCAAAGCTGCCACAATCTGTCAGGCAAGCTCAGTGGAAATTCCTAGTGTGGACTGCGGGGGGTGCATCCCATGTGCAATACGCCCATGCCATGCGTCTGGGGGGGCAGCTAGAGCTCTCCTACAGAAAACAGACTTCTCACATTTCTCCTTTCCCTCCTTCCTTCCCTCCCTTCTTTCTTTTTTCTTTCTCTCTTTCATTTTTTTGAGACTGAGTCTTGCTTTGTGGCCCTGGGTAGAGTGCTGTGGTGTCATCATAGCTCACAGCAACCTCAAACTCTTGGGCTCAGTTTTTCTATTTTTAGTAGAGACAAGGGTCTCACTCTTGCTTGTGCTGGTCTCTAACTCCTGAGCTCAAGTAATCTGCCAGACTTGGCCTCCCAGAGTGCTAGGATTCTGAGTGTGAGCTACTGTTCCTGGCCTCATCTCTTCTTTTTTAAAATAAATTTTTAATTGTTAGGGATATATGATCATTTTTACATGTTTATAGGGTACATGTAACTTTTTTTTTTTTTGAGACAGAGTTTCACTATGTCACCCTAGACAGAGTGCTGTGGCATCACAGCTCACAGCAACCTCTAACTCTTAGGCTTAAGAGATTCTTTTGCTTCAGCTTCCCAAGTAACTGGCACTGGCACAATACCCAGCTATTTTTTTGTTATAGGTGTCATTGTCGTTTAGCAGGCCTGGGTCGGGTTCGAGCCCGCCAGCCCCCATGTATGTGGCCAGCACCCTAACCACTGAGTACAGGCACCGAGCTGTACATGTGACATTTTCATTCAGGCATACATCACCTAATCAAATGTGGTGATGGAGTAACCATCACCTTAAGCATTTATCTGTGGTTTTTTTGTGTGTGCATGTGTGTTAGGAACATTCCAATTCCACGCTTGTGGTTATTTCAAAATGTACAATAATCGTTGTCAACCACAGTCAGCCTATTGTGCTACCAACTCCTAGATCTTACTCCTTCCACCTCACTGTATGTTTGTATCCTTAACCATCCTCTCTGCATCCTCCCTTCCCACTTACCCTTTCCATTCCCCCCTAACTATCATTCTACTCTCCCCCTCCATGAGTTCAGATTTTTTTTAGCTCCGACATACGACTTAGAACATGCTCTATTTGTCTTTCTGGGCCTAGTTAATTTCACCTACCATAATTTCACCTTCCTCCAGTTCCATCCACATTATGCAAATGACAGGATTTCATTATTTTCTTATTGGCTAAATAACGCTCCATTGTGTCTATGGAATGCAGTTTCTTTGTGCATTCATCTGTTGATTGATGGACACTTAGGCTGGTTCCATAGCTTGGCTATTGTGAATAGTGCTGTGCTGAACAGAAGAATGCAAACGTATCCTGGACATACTGACTTCATATCCTTTGGAGTGGGATTGCTGGTCACATGGTAGTTCTAGTGTTAGTTTTTGAGGAACCTCCCTACTGTTCCCCCATTCCCACCAAGTGTATGAGGGTTTCCCTTTCTCTGCATCCTTGCATCTTGTCTTTTGGATAAAAGCCTTTTTAACTAGCGGTAGATGATAGTGTGGCTTTTATTTTATTCTGTGAGTAGAGGGGAATGTTTTCTTTCAGAGCATGTTTTTATCATTAAACATTCCTTGTACAAAATGTTCAGATTAATATGAGGGTATAAATGATTAGGTTATGATGTTGGTGTTTGTTAGGTAGGGTCCCAGTTGTAGTTGTGCCCCTCACCCAGGAGGAGTGCCATGTACCCTTACATTGTGCCCACGGGGTGGGAGCACAACCCCCCTCCCTCCTGTCTCATTAAATGTTCTCAAGATTCCTTCTCCTGTATAGACCTGTTCATGGGCTGACCACCTGCGAAGCCCTTAGGAATCTTGGCTTCCCTTTAATTCTCATCCCATTTTCTGATCTTTGGGACTTTTTGCCCCAAACTATAATTTATTTGCATGTGGAAGTCCCTTCGTGCAGAGAGGCTCTCCTAGTCTCTTTGCCTTTTCTGTTGCTTTTCTGAGCAACCCTTGCACTGGTTTGCTGGTCCCTGCTGTGGCTCCCAAGCCGGGGTCGTGTGAAGCCTGAATACACTGCGTTTCTGGGAAGCTTCTGCCTCCTCCTGTGGTCTCAGTCTACCAGCCTGTAGCTGAGGCGCTGCTTGTGTCTCCCCTGACTGCAGTAATGCGCTCTCATCAACTCTCCCCACGTACTTGTGGCTGGGAATGACACATAAAACCGACAGCAACAGGAACATGTAAGGTAACGTTTTAATGGCTATTGCTAGAAAGCTTCTGACACCAGAGAGTCCAAAGTTATTACGCAGT